ATCCACTGATTCCCAACTGTGGATCGAAAATATTGTTTTCAAGGCATGTTTGGTTGAATCCATGGATGCAAAACCTGGGAATACAGGCCGACTGTATATGCATTGAAAAAAAATCCATGTGCATATGGGCTCATGTTCTTCAAGGGTCAGCTGCATTTCAAAATATCTGTAATAAAAAGCTTCAATAGCCTAGCCAGTGTAGCAGTGATTGAGTGTCGACCCATGCACCAAGAGGTCACCGGTTCAATTCCCTGTCAGGGCACATGTCCAGGTTGTGGGCCAGATTCCTAGTGGGGGGCATGCAGGAGGCGGCCAGTCAATGTTCTCTCTCATCGATGTTTCTATCTCTCTCTCCCTCTCCCTTCCTCTCTCTCTAAGATCAATAAAGAAAAAAACCTTTAAAAAATAATAAAAAGCTCCAATAGGTAATATCTACTCAGATCAAATTTAATTTCAACTCTAAACCTGATTATTTGTATTAAATTTGGGAATGCAGTAGTATAAGTATTCTTGGTTGTAGCCCTCATGTTATCACTTAAAGGAAAACACAATTAGCAATCCTCCCCCCCACCCCCGCAACATATTATGAAATGGATTGAAGAGGGCTTTGGAAACCATGTTGAGGAATTTGAGTTTTATCTTGAGAATAATGAGAAAGCAATTGAGTGTTTTAACCAGAGAAAAATATCACCAGATGTCTGCATCCACTCTCTGTCCTGTCGTTCTAATGTGAGGAACTGAGAAAGGGCTGGATCGTGGGATCAGTTCGGAGGCTATCATAGTTGTCTAGGCTTACGTTGGTGGGGGTTTAATATAAAGGATGAGCAGAGGAGGGAGAATCAGCAAAGAAATTGTAAAACATGGCAGGTGGCCCTGGCCGGTTTGGCTCAGCGATTGGAGCGTAGGCCTGCGGTACAGAGAGACTCGGGTTTGGTTCCCGTTAAGAGCACATACCTCGGTTGCAGTTTGTCCCCGGACCTGGTTAGTTGTGCGGGTGGTAGCCACTTGATGTGTCCCTTCACATCGATGTTTCTCTCTCTCTCTCTTCCTCTCTCTCCCTCTCGCTCTATCTGAACAAAAAATGGAAAAATGTCCTCGGGTGAGGATAAAAAGAAAAAAAAAAATGGCAGGTGAATTAAGCGTGGTGTCATAAAGTTAGGGGACTTGGTTTCCAGAGTCAAATACCAACCAGGTGTTAGCAGGATGCTTACTTATTGCCTGAACCACCTAAGCCATAATGGTGTTTGATCTTGCCATTCCTCTTAGAAGCATGCAACAGCTTCCCATGGGCCCTAAGAAAAATGTCTGTCTTCCTTGTTGTGGCAGCATTCAAAGCTCAGGGCTCATCTCTCTGTAAATGTCATTATGCCTTATATGCTCAGGACACACTGGTTTGATTTGAGGGAATGAGCTGAGAAATTTTCCAAGTGTCTGTTCTTAAGAACACTGCTCAGACTGGGCATAATTCGTCTCTATCAAAATTTGTTTCATCCTTGTGTTAGCCTAGACATCAACTTCTCCGTGACCTTCCCTCCTCTGGATCCATTTCTCTTCGCTGCGTGCCCTCAGCCCCTTAACCTGACCTCAGTCTTGCACTTAGGTAGTTACTTCAATGTGACTTAATATCTGCAGTGGTTTTCATATCTTCTCCCCAACTAAGTTGGAAACCTCTTGAGATCAATGTGTTGATTCAACTTTATCTCCCCTGATTAGCTGACCTATTTTAGTGACCTATACCTTTTTATTGCATTAGAATGATTTCATATCCTCTTCTGTCCATATTACAACAAAATCTAGGCTAATGACAAAGTTTCCATTGAAAAACTTGATTTTAGCTTACATGCTGAACCATGTTGGGAACATGTGTGCGTAGCCTTCAAACAGCAAAGGACAGGGCAAATGTAGGAGAGTGCATAAAAGTCTTTATTTAGAACAATAAAGTATATGTATATATAATGTAATTTCAAATTCAAACCTGTATAAAAAAGGTCAGGACATATACCTATTTTAAAAAGTACACATACAGTATATACACATAGACATCACATTTTACAACCTTTTTTTATTTAGTTAAACTTCAGTCATCATAAAACTATTTAGAATCGTGTGGACATACATTTACATTACAATACGCAAACTCCAATCTGACTGAACTAGCAATATATCTGTGCGTCCGTCTAAATGTCTGAATACTTTTCACGTCCATTGATTTCAAAAACCATGGCGAGGGGGGCACTCAACTCACACATTAATCTTTAGAACATAGGAGAATAGGACATTTTGATCGGAAAACGTTATTTAGTGAGTGTCACAGCTCACGAATCAAGTAACTGCCAATACTAGGTTTTTTAGTTTGAACAGTTATGGTGACTTGATTTTTGAAAACATCGAAAGATGTAGTTGGAGATGGCAGTTACCAGTTGACGATGCTAAGCAAACATTTTGGGATCATGACTACCCTTTGAATATGGACTATTTCTAAAACAGCAGCTTGTTAGGAAATGAAAGTACTGTTACTTTATCTTTCCAAACAAAGGTGTGTCCAGACTTGTTCACTGAAGTAGTGGCACCACACACTGAGTGGTCTGAGACCACAAACGGACTAGTCAGAATTTCAATCTGAATGTGTACATTTTAATGCCAATTTTAAAATCGTATTGTTTCAAAGACAAGCTAGCTTATTTTAAAAATTCCTATCCCACTTTCCAATTGGAAACGAAACTTAGGAATTAGCCCTTTCCAAATGGATTCTACATCATCTCCTGGCATTCAAAAAAACTTTGTGAGCATCTGACATTTTCCGCTCTTAGCTTTTAAGAAAATGAGACGATTTAAATGCTTAACTTGGTACATTTCCAAATGTTGCACACATCTTATAGTATCTCTTCCTGACTAAAACGTAGAAATGCTTTTCATGCTTCAGAGGTGATCCAAAAACATTTATTTAAGCAAAGCAAAAAAGCCATCTCGCGTTACCCAATTTATCCTACATGAGACTGAATTTCACTTTCACTAATGGACCCTATTTACATCACAAACAAGAACAGCAATGACTTTTTATGTTCAAATTGCTTATTCACAGAGATCAGAGTTGTATATTTTGCATGGGATAGTTTCAGCTCAATTTGATCTTCACTGTCAGTCATGGATCAATAGGTTCCCACCTAATGTGAGTCCTCCGAGTTGCTCATACAGATAAATACAAAATTGAGACCCAGTGAGGGGAGGGGACTTACCAGGATCAGTTAACAGCAGAGTGAAGACTTTTTACAACTTTCCCCAAGTTTTATCCTGCTATGCCAAACTGCCTTTTGGGAAAATGATTTTTAGTTAGAGCATAGATAGGGAATGGCTAAAAGCCACTGGGATTACATTTTGAAACCAAAACCTAGCTGCAGAAAAACATTAAGAGATATCCATGCATTCTGAATAGATTTTTTTACATTTAACTTTAATTAAATCAGAGTTCCAAAATATGCCACAAAATTTCTCCAAAGTATTTTAATGCTCAATGTAATTTGTTTCTTACTAAAAACAAACGCTTCATTATGGACACATACTTTTTGATTTTTTCCATCCCTAATCCTTTCTTAAGAGGATAGATTACTTATTTTATGACTGTATTTTAAAACAACCAATTTGTCTCTGACTCATTATAAAGTGGCAGTGTGGTAAGCTCATTAGATCATAATACAAAATCCAGGAACACTTTGGTATCACTGGGCAGGAACAGTTTATACCAGAGCCAGTTTCTTTATAAACTTGGGTTCTACCAAAGAGGTGCAAAGCCTTAGGTATAATTTAGAATCTGCAGACTTCTGAGATCAGTTTAACAGGCAATTCTGAAAAGCTGTTTATGACGAATAAAATTCAGCACACATATTGGATAAGACAAAGCAAAGGTGTAATACATATATATGTATGTATATATGTGTGTATATATATACACACACACATATATGTATATATATGTGTATATATATATTTTTTTTATCTTAAAGCAGCTATGACATAGCTAATGCCCAAGCAACTAGCATCCAAAATAACGTTCAGCATTTTTCTATTGTTCATGCATTTTATGGAACTTCAGTGTTTTAAAAATTGGTAGTCCATGTAAATCTCAATGAACCAACACATTTAATTAGGCAGAATATCTCTCCCCTCGCCTACTGTGCCAGATTTCAGAACTTGTTGAATTTGTTTATTTAACTCTATTGATTAGGACCCTGTCCTTGAGTGTTAAAATCTAGATACTAGCTGAGAACAAAAATACATTTATTGTTTTCTCAATATCATTAAACAGCACTGTGACATGCCTGAGGAAATCGAACTATTAAGTATCTTCTCCATCTACCCATGACCTACTCACATAACTCATATTACTCTATGTCTATTTTCCTCATAACAGTCCATGTCACATGCCTGAGACAGGTCCTTTTAGCAATTGAACTGATCTCTGATCCTATTACTAACTGATTATACCATGGGATATCTCAGGGCCTGAATAAGTTAACGCAGCTTCCCAAAGCACGTTAGGGGTTGTAGCTTAGAAAAAGGACTGGGGTTTGAGGGACCACAGCGCTTTAGAGAGGAAGGGATCGTAGAAATCATCTGGGCTCTTTGGTACAAAAAGAGAGCAAAGGCCACGTACTGAAGTTGTACTTGGATTAGCTTTGAACATAAGCTAAAATCCAACTCCGCTCGAAAGTCTTAGACTTTAGAAATCAGAGGAAAGCTAGCAGTTTTTCACGCCCTTTTGTAACGCTACATTGAAAATGACCATCCGATGCTGGTAGTACATGGCAGTAATGTTGTTGTAAGGGTTACGTTATAATGGAAAGTTTTGGATTCCCTTAGGTGTATGTTCATGATACAGTGAAAGAACCTTCTTCAAAGTAAGTCATAAGAAATCATTCTTTGATTTTAGTCAGGTGTTTCTTTGACCATAAAAAAAAAAAAAAAAAAAAAAAAAATTGGCAAGGGAAATTCACACAGTGTCTGGTAAGTTCTAGTTTAAAAGTGATGTCCATCTTGCGAATTCCTGCCAAATCCACTCTTACTATGAGAAACACTGTCATACATTTTAAACAGCAAACTGACATGCATAACTACATAAAGCTCTCTTCTTATTTTTATTTCATAAACCTTAATGAATACAGAGTGCCTGATTTTAAATAAATGGATCCTTTAAACAGATAATGGTGATTATACTATAAATAAGTAAGAGTTTCCTGATTCCTTGCATTCTTGTAAAAGCCAAGAAACCTGGTTTCAGCACCCATACCAGCATATGGGTGTGGTTTTCTAACCTTAGATACTAAATATCATAATTTATTTTTACTCTCTCCCATGGTGGAAATTGAAAACGGGACTTTCATACATTCAGCAACTTCTCCTAAGTCCCTTTGCATAACTCGGCAATAGTTTTAGGATATAAACATTTTGTAATATATTTTGCAAGCATGATTTATACACTCTACAGTGGTCAAGGGAAACGGCCGACCTCACCAGGGGTGACAGATGTCCTCCTTGGCGACGGTCCTGCTGTTCAGTGTTCATAGCTTCTCCAGGCGATGACTCTTGTGGGAAGTCTCCCCTCTGCAAAGGCATCGGTTCGCATTCAGTACTGGCTCCCCTGCATGGATAGATCCAGCCAACCATGTCCATTTGTCTAGTGGGATACGGGTGAGCAGGGTTTATATTGGGAAGGGACCGAGATCAGACCCACACCATAAATCAGCGGCGAGAAGGCTGACATGAAACCTACTCCAATCACTTTCTTCGCCACTGTTTTTGATATGTGAAGTGGCTGATGCTATCGAGTTTTTTGTCTTTAAAATACTTCTAGATCCCTTTGCAAAAAAAAATGATTACCCCGTCTATCCAGGCTGAACTCTACTTGGAGGGACCTAGATAACTACAAACTGCAGGTTGTAACTAAAATAAAGCTGGGTGGCTTTTCAGCAATTAGACATTTCTGGAGGCATGCAAAATGGGCGTGCAGTCTGGGACACGTGCTTTCCCTCCCGACATCGGCTGCAAGTTCTAAATGGTTCTAAATGACACTACAAGTCCCCCAGGTCCTTAAGGTAGGGTCCTGCTCCATGCACGTTCTTCTTTATAGATGATTATTAATTCAGTGCCAGTTTCACAGTAAAACACTTTGCTCCAATTTCTGAATCATCCATAGAGAGTCATGGGTAGCAAGAACAGGTCAGGATGCGGTCTGTCACTCCAGACAGAATATGAATTTGTTTAAAGCTGCTTCATTTATGAAGCACACATGAACTGTTACCTGCCTAGAGACAAAAGACAAAAAGAGAGATTAGGGCGTATCTGTTCTCTGCCTTCTTTTCCTTCTCAATAGCCAAATTCAGGCGACTACAGAATTCCTAACAGACTTGTAATGTATGCTTCACTTACACAGCCTAAAATAACCCGACACATGTTTTCCTGGATGCAATGATCAGTCGCTCTTGATGATCTCCCTGGGAACACTGAACATAACCTGAAATGATCTGTTTATGGCCTGTCTGCTCCTACTGAATATAAGATCTATGAGGACACAGAGCTTTGTCTATCTTTTTGACTTATTGCAGTATTGCAATGCCTGGTACAGTGCCTGGCACACAATAATACTCAATGGTGGGAAAAATGGCGGCGGAGTGAACGGAGCTACACAGACCGTCTCCCAGAACCAAACTGGAATTACAACTATAACACAGACAAATCGACGGGAAAAACCAACAGAAAAGCAGCTTGCGAGGACCATACAACGAGGGACACTGACTCCATCCCGGTAGGCTTGCGAAGGCGCGAGACGGGGCTGGGAGCGCACGGTCGGCAGCTCGGCAGCGGCAGCGGCCTTAGCTATAAGCGGCGCCCGCGGGTTACACTCCCAGGCGGCCCCACAGCGCAGCCGGGACTGAGGCTAAAACAGCCACAGCCACTCACCTTGGGCTCCGGCAGAGGGAGGGCGGACTGGACTGGAACTGTGTCGGGACACTCGGGGTTTGGAGGGCTCTCGGAGCTTTGGCTGAGTGCAGCCACTCAGGACGGTGGCCACATTGCTTCTTCCCAGGGCTCTGGGGAGAGGCAGCAGCCCCTCCCTCGGAGATCCAACCCCACCCTGTGGGCCATTGAAGTGTTAATTGAGGCTCACTAAGGACCAGCATCTGCCCCACCCTCGTGAAAGCCCCTTGGCTGAGCACCAGAGGGAGTTTTTCAATCAACTGACAACCCAAAACTCATCAATTAACCTAGACTGCTAGCTTCCAGGCAAAAAGCTAGAGGATAACAGTACGTTTCCTGGGCTGGCAACTTTAACCAGGAAAGTAAGACTTGACAGTGGTGTTCAACGCGGGTCCTCCCTCGCTCATCTAAACACAGGAGAGGGAGCCACAAACAGCAGAACACCAACACCCACAGGGAGAACTTGACAGGCTCCAAAGCCCAGAGTGATAGCTAAAATGGTGAAACACAGAAACAGAAGCCAAATGAAAGAGCAAACCACCTCCACCGAAGATGAGATCAATGTGGAGCAATTAGGCATGTTAACAGAGCTAGAATTCAGAGCCATGATCTTGAGGAAGCTGAACAGCATGAGTAAGGACATAGAGACACTGAAAATAAGCCAAATGGAAATTAAAAACCAACAAGAAGAGATAAAAAATGACATATCCGAAATGAAAAACACATTGGAAGGTTTAAAAAGCAGAGTAGGGGAAGCTGAGGACCGGATCAGCGAATTAGAAGACAGGGTAGAAAAAATCAACCAATCAGAAAAACAAAAGGAAAAAACTATTAAAAAACAGGAAGACAGCTTAAGAGAACTATGGGACAACTGGAAACGTAATAATATTCGCATCATAGGAGTCCCCGAAGAAGAAGAAAAGGAGCAAGGGATAGAGAATATATTCAAAAAAATAGTGAGAGAAAACTTCCCTAATTTGGTGAAGGAAGAAGGCATTCAAGTTCAAGAAGCACAGAGAGTCCCAAGTAAGAAGAACCCAAACAGGCCCACACCAAGACACATAGTAATTAAAATGCCACAAATTAAAGACAAAGAGAGAATCCTAAAAGCAGCAAGAGATAAGCAACAGGTTACCTACAAAGGGAACCCCATAAGGCTCTCAGCTGACTTCTCACAAGAAACACTACAGGCCAGAAGGGAATGGCATGAAGTAATCAAAGTCATGAAAAACAAGAATCTGAATCCAAGACTACTCTACCCAGCAAGGCTATCATTCAAAATAGAAGATCAAATAAAGAGCTTCCCAGACAAAAAAAAGCTAAGGGAATACATTAGCACCAAACCAGCACTGCAAGAAATGTTAAAAGGACTGCTGTAATTAGCAGTAGAAATGGGAACAAAAATAGAACCACACTAAACAAAAATGGCAATAAATAAGTACATATCAATAATCACCTTAAACGTAAATGGACTGAATGCTCCCATAAAGAGACACAGAGTAGCTGATTGGATAAGAAAGCATGACTCATCTATATGTTGTTTACAAGAGACCCACCTCTCAACAAAAGACTCACATAGGTTGAAAGTGAAGGGATGGAAAAAAATTTTCCAAGCAAATGGAAAGCAAAAAAAAGCTGGGGTAGCAATTCTCATATCTGATAAAATAGATTTCAAAATGAAGACCATAACTAGAGACAAAGACGGCCACTACATAATATTGAAAGGATCTATCCAACAGGAAGATATAACCTTGATAAACATATATGCACCCAATATAGGAGCACCAAAATATATTAAAAATCTTCTGGAGGACTTCCAAGGAGAAATCGACAACAATACAATCATAGCTGGGGACTTCAACACCCCGTTGACAGCACTGGATAGATCCTCTAGGCAAAAAATTAGCAAGGAAACAGAGACTCTAAATGAAGCACTAGACCAAATGGATTTAATAGATATCTACAGAGAATTACACCCCAAAACTACAGAATACACATTCTTCTCAAGTGCACATGGGACATTCTCAAAGATAGACCACATGATAGGACACAAACTAAATCTCTACAAGTTCAAGAAGATTGAAATCATATCAAGCATCTTCTCAGATCATAATGGCATGAAACTAGAAATCAACTGCAACAAGAACATGCAAAGACATTTCAACACATGGAGGCTAAATAGCATGTTATTAAACAATGAATGGGTCACCGAGGAGATCAAGGAAGAAATCAAAAACTTCCTGGAAACCAATGAAAATGAACACACAACAACACAAAATCTATGGGATGCAGCGAAAGCAGTTCTGAGAGGGAAGTTCATAGCACTACAGGCCTACCTCAAAAAACAAGAAAAATTTCTAATTGACTGTCTAACCTCACAACTTAAAGAATTAGAAAGCAAACAAAAAGAAAACCCCAGAGCAAGTAGAAGGAAGGAAATAGTAAAGATCAGAGCAGAAATAAATGACATAGAGACCAAAAAAACAATTCAAAGGATCAATGAAACAAAGAGCTGGTTTTTCGAAAAGATAAACAAGATTGATGGACCCTTAGCTAGACTCACCAAGAAACAAAGAGAGAGAACCCAAATACACAAAATCAGAAATGAAAGAGGAGAAGTAACAACCAACACCACGGAAATACAAAAGATTGTTAACAACTACTATGAACAACTATATGGCAACAAATTCGACAATCTCAGCGAAATGGACAAATTTCTAGAAACACACAGTCTCCCAAAACTATTCCCGGAAGAGATAGAAAACTTGAACAGACCAATAACAACTAAGGAAATTGAAGAGGTAATCAAGACTCTCCCAGCAAACAAAAGCCCAGGCCCAGATGGTTTCACGGGGGAGTTTTACCGAACATTCAAAAAAGAACTAACACCCATTCTCTTCAAACTATTTCAAAAAATTCAAGAAGAAGGAAGACTTCCAAACACGTTCTATGAGGCCAGCATAATTCTAATTCCAAAACCAGAAAAAGACACTACGAAGAAAGAAAACTACAGGCCAATATCCCTGATGAACATAGATGCCAAAATCCTGAACAAAATACTAGCAAATCGGATCCAGAAATACATCAAAAAAATTATTCACCATGACCAAGTGGGATTCATTCCAGGGATGCAAGGCTGGTACAATATTCGCAAATCAATAAACGTGATACACCACATAAACAAAATGAAGAATAAAAACCACATGATCATATCAATAGATGCTGAAAAAGCATTCGACAAAATCCAGCATCCATTTCTGATAAAAACGCTCAGCAATGTAGGAATAGAGGGATCATATCTCGACATAATAAAGGCCATATATGAAAGACCTACAGCCAACATCATACTCAATGGACAGAAACTAAAAACATTTCCATTAAGAACAGGAACAAGACAGGGATGTCCACTTTCGCCACTCTTGTTTAACATTGTACTGGAAGTCTTAGCCACAGCAATCAGACATGAAGAAAAAATAAAAGGGATCCAAATTGGAAAGGAGGAAGTGAAACTGTCATTATTTGCAGATGACATGATATTGTACATAGAAAACCCTAAAGACTCCATCAAAAATCTATTAGACTTAATAAATGAATTTGGCAAAGTAGCAGGATACAAAATTAACGTCAAGAAATCGACGGCATTCTTGTACATCAATGATGAACTCACAGAAAGAGAAACTGAAAAAACAATCCCATTTACCATCGCTCCAAAAAAATTACGATACCTAGGAATAAACTTAACCAAAGAAGTAAAGGACCTATTTGCAGAAAACTACAGGTCATTGAAAAAAGAAATAGAGGAAGATATAAAAAAGTGGAAGAACATACCCTGTTCATGGATTGGAAGAATTAACATAATTAAAATGTCCATACTACCCAAAGCAATCTATAGATTCAATGCAATCCCCATCAAAATACCAACGACATATTTCATAGAACTAGAACAAATACTTCAAAAGTTCATATGGAACCAAAAAAGACCCCGAATAGCCACAGCAATCTTGAAAAAGAAGAACAAAGTTGGAGGGATCACATTACCAGATATCAGGTTATACTACAAAGCGACTGTAACCAAAACAGCCTGGTACTGGCACAAGAACAGGCATATAGACCAGTGGAACAGAACTGAAAACCCAGAAATGGACCCAAGGCAATACGCTCAATTAATATTTGACAAAGGTGGCAAGAGCATACAGTGGAGTAAAGACAGCCTCTTTAATAAATGGTGTTGGGAAAATTGGACAGCTACATGCAAAAAAATGAAACTCGACCATCAACTTACACCATACACAAAAATAAACTCAAAATGGATAAAAGACTTAAATGT